TGCACGGTGCAGGTCACCTCTGCTGTGCGTTGATCAGATGAAGCATTCTGTGCGGAGTCTGAAGCTTTTCTTGATGCATTGTATTACACAGCAGATTACTGACACAGCCACATAAAGGATGGCTAAAGCCAAGTCCAATTGTTTTTTTAATGCACCCGTTCATTTTTCTTTGCTGTGCGCTAAGTCGGTCCACAGGCTGCCAGCGCACGGGCAGGCACCTAAAAACAGACGTGCAGCATTTTTCCGACGCTGCACACCGCAATGCACAGTAATGCGTTGGAACATATGTGCATTGGAGATGCATCGCCTTAGTGTGTTGAATGGCAGAGCAATGTGCCAACACACAGGGCCATACCTATAATGGGGCAGGTTTCCTCAGATGGCATCTCCTTGGGTCACAGGAAGTTAGAGGTTGGGCAGCAGGCAAAATGGCAGTGTGCCTGCTGTCCCCTTTCCCGCCAGAGCGTCCCAGGTTGCTAAGAATTCTTAGCAAGCTGTGATTATCTGGCTGGCATCCCACCCAGCTCTTGGCGTCCAGTGATATCAGTGAGCTGGGCAGAGCCAGAGGTAACTTGCACCACCAACAATCGCCTCCACCTCGTCCCACCCCTAAAGGGTGATGCCTTTTGATGAAGGAAGATTAAATCCTGTGTTTGGTTGGTGTAGTTTGAGGGTATTGGTGCTCCCTGGTGGCCATATTTTGAGGATATTATGTGCTTCCCGGTGGGTGTATTTTGAGGGTGTGGGTGCTCCCTGGTTGCCGTATTTTGAAGATATGGGTGTTCCCCGGTGGCTGTATTTTGAGCGTATTATGTGCTCCCTGGTTGGCATATTTTGAGGGTATGGGGGCTTTCTAGTGGCCATATGCTGAGGCTATGGGTGCTCCCTGGTGGCTGTGTTCTTAGGCTTTGACTGCTTCCTTGTGGTTATATTTTCAAGATATCTTGGTTTTACTCTATATCCTCCTGAAAAACCACTAGGGATGGTGTATGGCATATGGAATGGGTCCACATTGTTCACCTGTTTAGTGTAATGGTGGCAGAAATTGGAAAAATGGACTAGATAAAGAGAAGTAGGTGAACACCATAGACCTGCAGATGCTGTGGGGTGTCTCCATTGTTGGACTCGCACAGAAGTCTGGTCCTATCATCTACTCCATGTACACATAGGTTGAAGCTCTGTTGATTATGAGGATGAAGTATCTTGGACTGCTGTATAACACATGGAATATAGGACCATGACATTTATGTGCTCAGTGTAGAGGTGACAGGTGACAGAGGAGGAAGGGAGACGGATAAAGAGAAGTATGTAGTAGACCTACAGAAGCTACAGAGTTTCTCCATTGTTGGGCAGATGCAGAGGTCTGGCCCCATCTACTCCATCATATGTACACAAGATGAATCCCTGTTGATTGTATGAGGATGAACTGTCTTCAGGACTGACACCGGAATCTCACGAAGTAAAATGAGCTTGCTTGTAATAATCTCTGTAATTCTGCAGACTGCCTGTTCCGGCTGTGCCCCATGAACAGATATTCGGCTCAGAAGCAGTTCTGGAAAGCCGCAAAACCAGGAGCCAGTAACACGACTGACACCGTCCTCCTCAACAAATTACATGTAAGACTGACATACAACTAACTTCTAGTTTGTTTTTTTGTGCTGGTGACAGTGTAGTAATAAATCTTATTGTGTGTTACAGCATGCAGCAGATTTGGAGAAGAAGCAGAACGATACGGAGAACCGCAAGCTCTTGGGAACAGTCATCCAGTATGGGAACGTCATTCAGGTGCAGTGCTCTGTCTGTTGGGGTTTGGGAGGTGACTGGAAGGGATTTATTCTCCATCCCTGGGTTGCCTCTGAAGATGTTTCTTGTTCTTAAAGCCCAAAGGGAAAACAATAAACTTGGTAGGAATTCTAACCATTCCCTACTCTATCCTAAACAAACAAAACGTTCTGGCATAACATGCACTTTAACCAACATTGGAGAGGGCCAACGATAGTTTAAAAATCTGATAAATAGACCTAAAAGAAAGCTTTGGAATTATTGCTTTCACACAGAAGTGTTTAAACTGTTTCCCCATTTAGTTGCTGCACTTGAAGAGTAACAAGTACCTGACGGTGAACAAGCGCCTCCCGGCTCTGCTGGAGAAGAACGCGATGCGGGTAACACTGGATGAGGCCGGCAACGAAGGCTCCTGGTTTTACATCCAACCATTTTACAAGCTGCGATCCATTGGTGACAGTGTGAGTGATGGGGAGCGGTCCAGTGGAGCGTGTCATCTGGGATGATTGGCAGGAGGGGGGGATAGATAAATGAGAGGGGCAGAGAGATGTCCCCATGGCTTGTCTTCCATTCCAGTTTTCTTCATAAACATGGATTTCTTTTTACTCTCATTGGAGCTGTATCTACAGATATGTAGTTCTGGCATTGTCCATTTATTGACTTCAAAGAAAAAATAATCTTTAAAGCATGTATTTACAGTACACAAGTCTATATGTATGTGGACACACCTCCTAATTGAGTCCAGATGTTTCCAGTGACGGTTCCTTGTAGTGCTACAACATACAAAGACATTGTAGACAATTGTGCTCTTTCAACCTTGTGGTAGCAGTTTGGTGAAGACCCTTTTCTGTTCCACCATGACTGTTCCCTGTGTATAAAACCAGCTCCATAAAGACATGGGGTGACCAGATTGGTGTGGAGGAACTCAAGTGTCCTGAAGGAGAGCCCTGACCTCAACCCTTCTGAACCCCTTTGGGATGAATGGGGACACCAAATGTGAGCCATGTCTTCTCATCCAACATCAGTACCTGACCTCACAATTGGGTACCAATTGTGCTCTTCCAGCCTTGTGGTCACAGTTTGGTGAAGACCCTTTTCTGTTCCTTCATAATTGTCCCCTGTGTGCTATGCCAGCTCCATAAAGATATGGTTTAACCTGTTTGGTGTGGAGGAACTAGTGTCCTGCACAGAGCCCTGACCTCAACCCTACTGATCACCTTTTGGGTTAAATTGGAATGCTGAATGTGATCCAGGTCTTCTTATCCAACATCTTGTGGAAAGTCTTCCCAGAATAGTGGGGAATGTTAAAGCCACAAAGGGGGCAACTCCATATAATGGTCATGGTTTTGATATGGGATGTCCAACAAACACAGAAGTGATAGTCAGATGTCCACAAACTTGGCCATATATGATTGTGTAGACGTTGGAGGTTACAGTTCCTTTTATTGTCTGTAGTGACTAAATTTAGCATGTTGTGAAGGAAATTAATTGTTGACTCTTCGCTCTTGTTCAGCTTTCTAAACACCTTGCAAATCCACAAGCTACGAGAGTGTAGTTTTATAATTGGCAACAACTTGTGACTTTTAGCATGCAGAGACCTTTTTCATATGTTATAAAAAAAATCTACACAACTGGTCAGCATATATTGGAACTGTAGTCCCGTGATGGACTACAATCTCAATACAAATTGATAAACTAAACCTGAGTTTGGTGATCCATCCCGGGTAGGGGGGAGCTTGGAGCGGTGACTACTTTACAACACACACGGGGACCATGGGGAACACAAGTTGCCCCTCTCCAGAAGGACACTGTCCGCACCAATTCAGAGATGATTGGAGGATCTACAGCCGAGTGATACACAAATAAGATACATTTTTGTTAAAGGAGAACTATGAGGTGATTGCTTTTCACTCACCTCGTAGTTCTAGCCGACCTGTGACAATGAGACTGTCACAGGTCGGCTCAGTAGATCGGGAGGTGAGCGAACACATACCGGTGTTCGCTCACCTCTCAATCCTGTTACGGCTCTCTGCCGTGACAGGGGAGGGACTGGATTCCCCCCTCCCCACTCCGATCCTCCAGCGTGGACTGGTGGAACGGGAGGGGGGCGGGTACAGCTGGCTCTGCCTCTAGATAGGCAGAGCCAGCTGTCACTCACGCAGCTGGGCGGATCTCGACATAGCTGTCGGGATCGGCTGCGTCGTCTCAGTATACCGCAAGCTGTAGCTTGCGGTATACTGAGCTCAGGGTGACGGGAGGACGCTAGTTTTGTGTCCTCCCGTTACCCTAAGGAGAACTAATGTATTTTTAAGATTTAGCTCCGGAATTTAGTGTCACTTTAAGTAAGGTGACCCCTGTTTCGGGAGGACTGCTGCTTTGAGGAGCGCAGACAAACCGGGGCCATTCGGGCCTTTGGGGACTTTTCACCTTCAAATTAAGAATTTTGGATTCAGCGCCTCATTTACACCTAATCTCAGATGTGAGGCATATTGTTTGCTTGACATTCGAGTTCTATTGTTTGTGCATAAACCATCCATTGGAGCTGTGTTGTCTGTTTATAGATGCCAAGTTTCCATTGGAGTGGTTTCTCTTGTTCTCGGCTTCTGTGTTAATAGCGGCCACATTTGAGATTTATAATTTTAACATTCTAAACTGATACATCAAAGGTTCTTCCCGCCAGACCTCGGTACGTAGTGTTGTACATTAAGTGGAAAGCCTCGGGTCCCTCCTAATTTGGGTCAGACAGAAATTTTTCTCTTGGTTTAAAGACTTCGACTTCCAGTCTCCTGGGGCTCCGATGTCTCTGCATATTGGGAGACGTTTATTCATGATCAGTTGTAGAAGGATTGCCCTGGATACCTCCAGCCTACATGTATTATACCATGTCAAAGTGGCTGAAGACTCTGGACATTAACCTTTTCACTGGTGCCGTGAGGAGCTGCTGGTTGGGTGTTTTGTAGAGGGGAATATTGCACTGCCAGAAGCAGTGGAGAAGTAACATAGGCCACGAGTGGGCATCCACGCCACTCCAGTTGTGATTCAACTACAAATCCCCTGACACCTGTAGCTTTTTTGTAATGCCTCATGGGACTTTTAGTTCAACAGCTGCGGTGCCAAGGTTGCCTACCATAGGGGCCTAGGCTGCATAGCCAATTAGGGCTCTGCTTAAAGTAGGAAACTCAATTAAAGTGACTTCTGATTGGTTGCCATTACCTGCACTTAACACTCACTATTTGCTTATTGTAGGTTGTCATTGGTGATAAAGTTGTCCTTAACCCGGTCAATGCTGGGCAGCCGTTGCACGCCAGCAGCCACCAACTGGCCGATAACCCAGGATGCAACGAGGTGAGTCTTCCGGGTATTGTCTGACTTGGCAGTTATTTATTTTTCTGCTTTTGTCGGATACAATTTGTAAGAAATTGTATTCTTTAGTCTTGTGCAGGAAAGTATTTCTGTACACTATATGCAACTGCGTGGGGGAAACGGGTGAACCAGTGATGGATCTGTGTTCCTTTTAAGGATCATAATGATTGGGTGGACTCGACTTGACATGTTTTCCATCACATCCAATCTTTTATTGATAAACCCAACCAACACATTCAACCCTTCAGGGATAACATGTAAAAGGAAATACACAAGGCAATCTACATTGTTTCTCTCCTTGTACACATTAGCCCTGAAGAAGGGGGATTTTATAACAGACGCATTACATTAGCTGTGTTTTTACAGTTACCAGATCCTATGATCCCTTTTTAAGGTGCTCCTCAGTCCTCACCCACCACACGTTGCCACTTTCCATAAGGAACATCTGGATCCCCCAACTTTGGGTTCAGTCTACAGCCACGATTTATACCATTGTCTCTGCAAACACAATACAGATGTCACACAAGGTTTGCATAGTAGTTGATGCTTCAGGACATTTGACTGATGGTTTTGTTCCTTGGTTGCAGGTCAATTCGGTGAACTGTAACACCAGCTGGAAGATTGTGCTGTTTATGAAGTGGAGTGACAATAAAGATGACATCCTGAAAGGGGTGAGTGGGAATATCTGGAGGGAGGGACAAACTGGTAGATGGAGAGTTGGAGGCTTTTGGGAATGTCCAGTTTTATGCACACTCCTAGGTGCAGCTGGGGCATAGGTCAACTTCTTTCGTCACTGATACAATAATGATATTGGCATTTTAGAACTCTCGCTGTTTGCTTCTACTGTACACGCATTAAAAACCTGTTTCCTGTAGACACACACACTGTGATGATTCCTTTTGTAGCTGTAAAGGAGGAAATGGATTTCTTGAATCCAGGCCAGTTGTTGCTACTGAATAATGGCGATTGCTGAGTGATTTGCATCTATTAGCTCATTAACCTCCATAGGACAGCCAAGGGCTGTGAAGTCCTGACCCTGCTCTGAGATCACATGGCTAAGACAGCCTCTTGAGGTCTGGACAAATCCCATGAGCCATGTAGCCAATGTTCCTTAAAAGTCCATATATAAAATTGATGCCTAACATGCTAATAACAAAAAATGTATCTCAGAATATTGTAAGATGAACCCTTTTCTATGTCCTTAGCTCTCTTCTGCTTGCTGTACAGATCTAGTGCTGTTCAGCCCACTGTAACTACAAATTATATGACCTTCACCTAATGCATAATATGGGTCGTGCCATTGGGGGTCAGAGCAGTTCCTGGCTGGGTCTTGCATGGCTAATCGCTTGTTTAATGGCAGTGACAACAGTGTTAGTCACCCCCCATGTCCCCGATGACTGAACATTGGAGTGCAGTCTCTGTGGATGCTGCCAACTGAAGGCTGACAATGCTGCCCTAATTGTAGAAGAGGTGGGCTAGATTTGGCACTCTACCAAAGGTGGAAAATCAACCGGTGAGTTAGAAGAAATTGAAAGACCACCAGAGAACACCTGTAAGGCACACTTTGAGTGCTTGCCTATAGTTCTGCATGAAGGCTTCTCCTTGTTCCATGAAAACATGCTTCACTCTTTATATGGCTGCACCGCGCCCAACAACCATTCTCAGTTTTGGATAAGATTTCTAGAAGGACTTTAGATTGGATTCAAACTTTATGTTGCTCTTGTTTTGTCAGGATAAAGTAGGCAGAGCAGTGAGCAATTGGAAAGCATCTAACTCTTTTTCTGGAAGTCAAAGCCATTTTATAGTATGGCCCTCATCATAATTGACATCTCATTTTGAAGGCCTCTATCTGAAGGGTTGTGGTGTCTATCTCTTGCAGGGTGATGTTGTGCGGCTGTTCCACGCAGAGCAGGAGAAGTTCTTAACATGTGATGAGCATAGAAAGAAGCAGTATGTTTTCCTCAGGACCACTGGTCGCCAATCTGCCACCTCTGCCACCAGCTCCAAAGCATTATGGGAAGTCGAGGTAAGAATCAACTTGACCTGGTAGCCTTCATTTTTGGTAGGATCGCTGCAGACCAGCTGAGCCTCCGTAGTTATGTCTGCACCTTATGAATTTACCGCTGGGTGGCCAATATTGGAAAATTATGGGAGACCTGGTGCAAAACCTTAACATGAACATTTTGGATGATCTCATCAAGCCCTGGAGAAACCTGCTCAGAACAATGGCATACAGTGTCTTTGTTCAGTGAGCCTTCTAGTCTAGGAGAAGGAATCTGCACATAATGTATCAGCACACAGACAATAAATATGGAAAGATATAATTATGACTGGTCCCTTTGGGCTCATAGGCCTGGAAGTGTTTAAGAGTTTGTACATCCTCTGTAGGTCCACTTAAACTACTGAGGCTGATGATCTTTAGAACCCATATTGCATGAAGGGTATGTCCAGGCATTACCTAAACTTTCCCCAAACCTGCTTCAACACCCCCCCAATGCACCAGAATTATTTCATCTTGCCCCACTCTGGGACATCACCAGGTTTGAAAAATGCTTGCAGGGAACACTACTGGGAACTCTGTTCCAATTGATGTAGGCACACCTCCAGAACCACATCTTCCATGAGCTGTTTCCATACATACAATGCATGTGTAAGGCTATTGGAAGTCAAGGCAGCAGCATTGTTCGATGGGAAAGATCATTGTATGCATGTGAAGAAGGATGGTAGGAAAGGAGGCATTGTTTTGTAGTCTAGCAGGCAGGGCTTACAGCATGCGGAATTTCATTGCAGCAGAAGCACTGTGTTGTCAGTCCAAACAGGAAGTTTGGAGCTTTTCTTAACTCAAGACAATTAATGAACAAGGCTGTTTAATGTTTTGTACGGTTCCTCTTGTTAGGTTGTCCAGCACGACCCATGTAGAGGGGGCGCAGGCTATTGGAACAGCCTGTTCAGATTTAAGCATTTGGCGACGGGGCATTACCTGGCAGCAGAGGTGAGTGAGAAACCCCAAAGCGACGAGAAAGTCTCTAACCTCCATTTCTACACAGAGGACCTCATTGCCACAGTGGGATGTTGATGAAATTTGAAGTGCCTGCGATAATGTTAATCCATGTTGTAATGTGTGTGTTTAACAATTTGTAGGCTTCTAGGACCTTCTGCAATTTTTATGCTCCCCCCACACCCCTCAGCAGGTGGCTTTAGACTGGTTCCCTCTTTCTCACTGTACGGTTCTTTCCTCAGGTAAACCCTGACTATGAGGCAGGTAGCCTGGAAGCTGAGGTCCCAGTAAGTATGGCAGGTAGAAGCCTTGGTGCCTTTACCCACATCCACCTGACATGGCCCAGCTTGGTTAACCCATTACCAACCCTTAATGCTGTTCCAGATCTCATTTTACCTATCGGCATCTACTCCGGCTACCCAGCCCAGCTTCCATCCTGTACTCGCCCATTTCATGGCCGTCTCCACCAACTGAGCTACATGGTGCATATACAACGGAAGATGTACATTCACTTTCCTGATGGAGTTCATGCACGTGGCTGTGCGTGGAGATTATTCCAACAGCTGAATAATCCGAAAGCCATCGAACGCCCTCGTAGTGAATTCTGTCCATGCTGAACCGCAATGCATTTTAAAGAGTGAGGGTCTTGATCTGTTTCGGTAGCGGTTGATAAATTGCTGTGGTTATCCAGGTTTCTGGGAGGTTGGAATACCCGAGGACACTAGGCATCGTGCCAAGCAGCCTTTGTTTTAACTTGATGGCCCCCGGAGGATATCTGAGCCGGCTTGTTGTATTTTGTGGAGAGAGATTTTGTCCTTTTAGAGGTTTTCTTTCCCTGTGTTTAGCACTGGAAGTTAGTTTTTACTATATAGCAGGGGTGGGCAACTCCGGTCCTCCAACTACATATTCAATCATGCATCTTCCCCTGGGAGTCATGCCTATGGCTCATGGGATTTGTAGTGTCACCCCACGTGGCTTGCCAGAGTGTCTACCCCTGCTCTATAACATTGGGCTTTTTGTGAACTATACCCCAGAGCAAGGGTGAGCAGCTCCGGCCCTCCAGCTATACTATAAGTCCCATGAGGCTTTGCAAGACTGACAGCTACAGACATGACTCCCAGAGGCAGAAGCATGTTGGGATTTGTAGTTAAAATACAGCTAGAGTGCCGGAGTTGCCCACCGATGACATATAGGCTACTTTAAAGAGACCCTGTCACCAACCTCAATATTTCTAAATGCTTACTTGCAGCATTTTCCTTTCCATAAGAGATGCTTTAATCACTTGCATTGTGCCTTTGAACATGTTCGAAATTTTGACTGCTTCAGGAGTCAGTTTTCATAGCACAGCCCCTTCCCTCCTTTCACGTCATAGTCCTCTCCTCTTCTGGAAGTGTCTAATTACTCTCTGTGCTGGTCCAGCTCCCCTGGAAATCCCCTTACCTCCCTACATACACAGAGGAGAGGAGAATGGAAATATGGCGAAAGGGTAGGCTGCCTTGGAACTCCGTTTTGAGGCTTCCATGAGTCCCATGAGGCATTGCAAGACTCTAAAAGCTACCCCTGCTATAGATTAGTTACAGTTCTGTGGCTGCTGACATCACATCCAAGATGGCGTGGCCCGGCAGCAGTCTCGAGACTTTTGGATGGCTTTACAAGGGAGGCTTTTGCTGGTATAGTACATGCATAAAGTATGTCAAAGGCACATACAATTTTATGGGAAGATTGTTGTTGGAATGCTTTGATGACAGGGTCTCTTTAACCCTCTATCCACAACCCCTCCCATTCGTTCCTCAATTTACTAAACGTTTTATAAAAATCTGCACATTGATAGCAGACTCCTTCCCCTGGCGCGTAGTCACCTAAGTACACAAATAGGGTTCATGATGTCTTCATGCTTGGCTGTTTTAACGCCCTGCAAATAAGGGAATAGAGCTTGAAGGGTCCAAAGATGGATTTCATACAGACATTAAAAATTATCATTTCAAAGTTCCCAAAAGTTCATTTCGTTTTCAGATGGACCTGGATCAGGACCCGGCTCGAGCCAGAATGAGAGTTGCTCCGGAGAAGATGATGTGCACGTTGGTCTCTGTCCCTGAAGGCAATGATATCTCCTCCATCTTTGAGTTGGACCCAACGACACTAAGAGGTGGTGACAGTCTGGTACCAAGGTAACTCACTTCTGGGTTATTCTCTCATGGGGTACATTTTATTTTCCCACCAGGAGTTTGAGGTCCTGCCATCTTTACATTTCACAGTAACCAACCAGATGTCAGTCTTTGATGCCTAGTAGAAGTAAGGATTGAAGAGTCGATTCGGCTGCTTTGGGCATCAAACTCTTTTGGCCACCTTATACAAATACATTATCTTTTGTCATTTTTTTTCAGAAACTCCTACGTACGACTACGCCATTTGTGTACCAACACCTGGGTACACAGTACCAACAGCCCCATTGATAAAGACGAGGAAAAGCCAGTTATGCTGCGGGTAAGGTCAGACTGTGACACTACACTTCTGGACATCGAATATACTTGAAATTGAAATTTAATTCAGTGGAAAGTTTTATTCTTATGACTGATCATTGTGCTTATTAACCTCCCATTTTCAGATGCTAGTTTGCGGACACCACTGGTTGCCAAGTGCTGGATGGGACTGTCCCACTCGGCTTCTGGCAACCAGTGACGTAACTGGTTGCCAAGAGGTGGAATGGACGCCGGCCAGAGCATTCTTGTGCAGGATACTGGGCATGGAGATGTGTATGATCCTTACACATCTCCCCACCCGGTTCTTAACCTGGGTTAATCTGGCCAGAAAGAGGGTGACAGGCACACTGCAAACATTGTGCAGCTGAGTGGCCAAGCCGTCCGTCCCCCCCACGTGACCCAAAGAGGTGCTGCCTGAGGCAATAGCCTCATTATAGGGATGGCCGTGTATCTTGGAATGGAGCATTGTGTTGTTTTACTTAATTATATGGACTAGACCCAGTTTTGAAATACTGACCCAATTTATATTGCAATAGCCTTTTGCTTTTTCTCTGTGGTCTCAAAGCCATAATGTTGTTACTTCGAAACGACACTCATCTGCATTAGAGCAGTGGGAAAGGCGCCTCTTGAAATAAAGAGCGATTGGCATTATTAATCCTTACGTTGTCCAATGTTGAAAGGGATGATATCTACTTTTCCCATCTAATGGTGTCCCCAGTTGGCAATATAATAGGGCTGTGCAAATTAACGATTAATTTCTCGATTAATCGTTAATCTTTTTGATTGATGAACATTTTTTTGATCACTAATAAACACTCCCCTCTCCGCCGGCTTCCGGGAGTCCCGTCGGAGATCCTGTGATTAATAACGTGCTGGATTAGTGTGATCCTAGTTCATTTTTATTACTTCATTGCTGTGCTGTATGTGTAAAGGCCAATGTAGTTGGATCTGTATGTGTGTTATAATTGAAATTAATCGATTAAAACATTTTTTGATTAACCGAACACGAAAATTGTAATCGCTAACAGCCCTACAATATAATCATATCCAACATTACATTGTACACTAGAATAAATCTCAATGCATTTATATGAAATGGCTAGAGTAGCCGCTTAACATTGCCTGCATTTCTTTCAGCTGAAAGCCCACATTGTGCATTTTTTATGGTGTCTCCCTATTATAATGGCAGATTTTTGGCATCGGCTTGTTTGCTTACTCACAGCCTTACTAAAACATCCGGTTTACATTATTCTTGAAATCTGTCTGGTGTCCTTGATGAGGACACAGTGGCCTCATAATCCCAATTTTCCTTTAGACACGCTCTTTGAAATGGATGTCCCCAGCTCCCCAGAACCTTATTTTGTGGAAGCAACTGGTCAACCAAATTATGAGATTCAAAAATTCGAAGGCTGTGTCCCATTAAGAAAATTTAAAGACGTGGTGTGACTTATACTCTAACAATGGCAAAGTTGTGAATACTGGGCTGTGCCCCTGAGGAGAGGACGAGGTCTAGCGTGACTTAAGTACTGAACTAAAGGTCTTTTGATTTGGAACGTGTATATGTTCCCATGTTCTCTTAAAGGAGTTGTAAGGTCCCAGCATATCCTCTCCTGTTATCACATCAGCATTGTAATAGGAATACATACTGGAGATGTCTCTGATAATACAATCAAATCCCTTTTATGTAATGAGTGCTGCCCATCACTTCCAACAACTTCCTGGATTCCCAGTGTGCTTTGCATCTCACCACGCAGCAGAGAAAGATACCCAATCTCCATCTCTCAAGACTACATATCCCGCCATGATAAGGTTACATTGTTCAGATGTTGCATTATGATTCAGAAGGCAGGCCCAGTGAGAGTTGGTGGCACAAGGAAGTCCATATTAACAGGACTGCGTGAAATTGTGTCAGTGCATTGAGGAAGTTCATGCTGTGGGCATTATCGGTTTAAGGACTTCTAGATGGATATGGTTATTAGGAGTGTGATACATGGAAATTCAATATAGAAATACCGAATTATTTATAGTTTTTGGCCGAAGATACCCTTTAACGTGAAATAGCTGTAATATGTATGCTGTCAATCTTATGAATGTGTTGCCTCAAAGGTAATGTCCTAGAAGATCAGTCTCGTGACCATGTTGGCAAGGCTTTATTTGTATGGATTTGTGTTGTTCAGTAAAAAGCTAAAAATATTTCATTGGTAGTGATTGTTGTGGTGTTCTTGCATCCCTCAGATTGGTACGTCCCCTGTGAAAGAAGACAAGGAAGCATTTGCCATTGTTCCCGTGTCCCCGGCAGAGGTTAGAGATCTGGACTTTGCCAATGACGCTAGTAAGGTTCTGTCTTCCATTGCTGGCAAGCTGGAGAAGGGGACCATTACCCAGAATGAGAGGAGGTAAGGGGCAGTGCGTGGCTGAACTCTTTTAGTGGGACAAATGCTTCTTTGAAGGTTATTTAGAAGTTCCCGGGCATGCTGCAATTCTCTTATTGCTTGCTGAAACCCAACGCCATAGTCAGATATCTGTAAATGGAATGTAATCCGTACTGGTCCTCGCCACCTTACCTTGATCTGTCTTACAACATAAATCTCATCTTATTCACAAGTGTGACCTTTTGCTCTTCCTTTATGATTTAGGGCAGTGACCAAACTCTTGGAGGAGTTGGTTTATTTTGTAACCGCTGGAGTGAATTCTGGGCAGGACGTGCTGGAGGTCTTGGTGACCAAACCCAACCGTGAACGCCAGAAACTGATGCGGGAGCAGAATATCCTGAAACAGGTGGGTGTTATCGGGTAGAACGATGGATCTCTTGAAAGTGTCGAGTTGTGTGCTAATGTGTCTTCCCCGGCAGATCTTCAAACTGCTGCAGGCCCCATTTACCGATAGCGGCGATGGTCCAATGCTGAGGCTGGAGGAACTGGGGGATCAAAGGCACGCACCATTCAGGCACATCTGCCGACTATGCTACCGTGTCCTGCGGCACTCCCAGCAGGACTATCGCAAGAATCAGGTATGTGTTGTGATCTAACTTCTCACCACTGAAGTTATAATGTTACATCACTTTAGTTTTAGGAAAACAATTGCAGACGGTAGATTCACAGAGAACATAGTAATGGCCAAAAATATTGGCGCTCCTGTATTTCTGTCAGATGCACCACTATGTGCAGAAAATTGTTGCAATTACAAATGTTTCGGCATTCTCATGTTTGTTTATTTTATTTGTGTTGGTATGACACAAAAAAGCTGAGAGAAAAAAAGCCAAACCTGACACATTCCATGCAAAACTCCAAAAATGGACTGGACAAAATTATTGGCACCCTTAATTAATATGTGGTAGCCTGGCACTTAGAAAAAAAATAACTGAAATCCAATGGCTTCCTGTAACCATCAATGAGTTTCCTACACCTCTCTACAGGAATTCTGGAGCACTCTTCTTTCGCCAACTGCTCTGGGTCTCTCAGATTGGAAGGTTCCTTTTCCCAACTGCTGTTTTGAGATCTCTCCACAGGAGCTCTACGGGGTTCAGATCTGGACTCATTGCTGGCCAGTCCAGTACTCTCCAGCACTTTGTCTGAAACCATTTCTGGGGGATTTGTGACGTGTGCTTTGGCTTATTGTCCTACTGCAAGACCCATGACCTCTGGCGGAGACCCAACTTTCTGACACTGGGCCCTACATTGCACCCTAGAATTCTTTGGTAGTCTTCAGATTTCATAATGCCATGCACACAGCCAAGACATCCAGTGCCTGAAGCAGCAGAGCAAATCCAAAACATCAGTGAACCTCCACCATGTCTGACTGTAGGGACTGTATTGTTATTTTGTTTTTAAAGGCCTCATTTCTTTTTCAGAAAAAAGTAGATTAATGGGCTTTATCAAAAAGCTGTCATTTTGGCCATGACTGCATATATATATTTTGTCTGTGAAACTCAGGTTTAATTATTCATTTCTTAGTCTCAGTTCAGGTTTTTGCTGCATGCTATGAAATGTTCTGTGTAACACGTCTCCTTGTCTGCCCAGGAATACATCGCCAAACAATTTGGCTTTATGCAGAAGCAGATTGGATATGATGTCCTGGCGGAGGACACAATCACCGCGCTATTGCACAATAATCGCAAGCTGCTGGAGAAGCACATCACCACAG